GTAATGTCCATGGGTTCCAGACGTCAGGCAGTCATTGCCAGTAAGGATTCTCAACAAAATATTAAAAATGAATATTTTATTTATGATTATATTAATTAGTCCAATTAACTTACATTTGAGCCCCTGAAAATGGAGGAACTGTGTATGAACATAAATATCAAGTACAAATTTTAAGAACTACAACCATTTTTAAACCCTTGAATTAAAGCTGAAAGTATGCACTTCAAATTAATTTGGATTGTTTAATTTTAATTCTGGTGGCAGACAGAGCCAAAAGTATGAAAATTGTGCCTGTGTCCAAATATATATATGGACTGTATAATAAAGTCAAATATGGGTCTAATTTTTTTCAATTATTCTTCGCTACTAGACTTAGCTAACTTGTGATGTTGTCCTGGTGGGCTGACCCTCCATTTTTCCAAGATTCTGAGTTTTTTTTTTTTTTTTTTGGTATGAATGGTGACATGGCGCACCTTAGTCATTATATTGTCCCCCTTAGTCTGAGACCTACACTTACTTGCCACTTTATTAGGTACAACTTGCTAGTGACAAGAAAATATCCCTCACACCATTACACCACCACCACCCTGAACCATTGATACAATGCAGGATGGATCAATGCTTTCATGTTGTTTACGTCACATTCTTAGCCCACCATCTGAATCTCGCAGCAACCAGTCTGCTCATTCTCCTCTGATATCAACAAGGCATTTTTGTCCACACAACTGCTGCTCACTGGATATTTTTTCTTTTTTGGACCATTCTCTGTAAACCCTAGAGATGGTTGTGTGTGAAAATCCAGTACATCAGCAGTTTTATAAAATATTTAGACCAGCCTGTCTGGCACCAACAACCATGCTACGTTCAAAGTCACTTAAATCCCCTTTTTCCCCCTTCTGATGCTCGGTTTGAACTTCAGCAAATTGTCTTCACCACATCTAGATGCCTAAATTAATTGAGTTGCTGCTATGTGATTGGCTGATTAACATTTTGTCACCAAGCAATTGAACAGGGGCACCTAATAAAGTGGCCCTTGAGTGTATATCTCTGTTGGATGTTGGGAGGTGTTGGTGTGTGCATGTTCCTCTCCTTCCCCCAGTTCTCCCCTGCCCCATTCTTCTCTTTTCCCAGTTTGAACCTTTCTTCCATGGGTTGATCATGATTATGCAATTTGTTTTAGGATTGTTACTTTGGCATTATGTAATATGTTATTGCTGGCTATAGAATTATTGCTTTCACCTTGGTGCGCGCAACAATACCAAGTGTGTAACAATACTACATGTGTAATTTTTGTGCTTTTTCAGGGCAACAGTGACACCATGAAACTACATGATCAATGCACATGTTATGCAGGTGTAAAAACAAGGTGCAGGTAGGTCTATCAGAGTATTAATGCAACTGCTGGACCTATTAACCTAAGGGCTAATCAGGCATGGGTAATGCTTGGCCAGGAAACAACAGCACTGAACCCAGAAGTGACAACATGCTTGTTTTGGGGTTTCTTTAACAAGAGGGGAGATCTGTGAAGAATGTGTTTGCCTGATCTCCCTCCACTGTACCTGCCATGCTCATTCCAGACCCACATGAAAGGCAGTGGAGCCTGGATACAAAGTGAGGGTAGTGGGACCTGTACCCTCAAAAATGTGGGGAAGTGGTCAGGTGGGCTTTACAGTCATCTAAATCACTTTCAGCAGAAAGCCAACTGTTTAAAAAACCTGTGCTGCTGCTGACATAAGCCTTACGTTGGTGGCAGCTAGAGTGTTAGATGATTATGTATCTTATAAGAATGTTAGAATACAGGTTTTTGTATTGCTATGCAAAACTGGTTTAATAAATAAATAAAGACAAATAAATTCTTTAAAAATCATACAATGTGATTTCCTGAATTTTCTTTTAAATTCTGTCTCTCAGAGTGGGAATGCACCTACAATGTGAATTTCAGACCCCTCCATGATTTCTAAGTGGGAGAACTTGCAAAATCGCAGGGTGTTCAAATACTTCTGTTCCCTCACTGTATAGAGAATGCTGATCTAGAAGCATATAGAGTGATAAAAACCTTTCATGCAAAGAAATGTTATTTACACAGATTTTGTAATGAAACCACATAAATGTCAATATAGCTTGTAATGTCGATGCAATAATTCTTTCCTTTTTTTCTATAAGAAATACACTCAGAATGTGGTTTATTGTATCAAAGTAAACTGTAGATCAGCATGTTGTGCAAATCAGAACCACTAGTGTAGCAATCCAGTAAAACTGATGTAATTGAATTTGAAATATGTTATGTAAAGTAAAAGAACCACTAAAATAACCTATTAAAGGTCAACTCCACTCATAACTGATGTATTGAGTTCAATCACATGGTAGATTAAGGTTTTTTTTATTGGTATAGCGAGCAAGGAATGTCAGGGAAAGTCCCAAGTTGTGACTTGTGGGATTGGTACCTGGGGAAACAATGAAGCCAGCTGTAGGCTACTCTTTGCCAATACCAGAACAGTTGGTACATATGACACAAGGGTGGGATGGAAGCTGGCCTCTGAAACCACTCCCTAGGAAGGCTGAGTACTCCAAATCCCAAGAAATGCACCCCAGCACTGTAAAGAGGGCAATCTTGTGGGACACAGAGGCTGCTCCTAATTTGAAATATGTGAGGGTGCAGGTGCATGGCTGTGTCTGTGCAGCCATTGTCCCAACTGACATGAATGGAACTGTCTGCATGGGGTTGCATGGAACACGTGTGCATCCCCGTGTGGGTAAACACAGCCCTAACATGGGCAAACCCTTAAGCATGCCCATTGTCAAAGTGGCCTTAATGTCTTATATAACAGCCTCAATGAGTTTGTTTTTGGCAGCTTCCCAAAATAGATTCAAAAAAGTATGCTAAAGCTAAGCTCCAAACAGATATTATTTAATTGAATATAAATGAAATGGCTGTTGTGGGAGTTGTCCAGCATAGTCCATCACAAGACAAGGCAAAATGCCTTGTCTCCTATCAAACCAGTTTTCACCATCCCATTGCAATGGTGTACACTGAACAAAGTATGCCATGCAGCACTTTTTCAGCACAGTGTGGTGCAATGCAATTCATTGCCCTGCATCATGCTACAGCAATAAAAATTAATAAAATATCACTTTTAACCATTTCCATACCGGCCACTTTTACCCCCTTCCCTCCCAGGCCATTTTGCAGGTTTCAGCGCTCTCACACTTTGAATGACAATTGCGCAGTCATACAACATTGTACCCAAACTAAAATTTTATCATTTTCTTCACACAGCTAGAGCATTCTTTTGGTGGTATTTAATCACCGCCGGGGTTTTTATTTTTTGCTAAATTAACAAAAAAAGACAAAATTTTGAAAAAAAAACCCACATTTTTCTTTGTTTCTGTTATAAACGTTTACAAATAAATAATTGTTCTTTATAAATTTAGGCCAAAATGTATTTCTACTACATTTCTTTGGTGAAAAATAACCCAAATTAGGATGTATTTTTTAGTTTGTAGGAAAGTTATAGAGTTCACAAACTATGGTATAGATCTGAATATTGATCAATCCTGAAGTACTGACAGCCAATCTAATTTCTTGAGGTCCAAGAATGTCAGAACAGTACAGATATCCCCCAAATGACCCCTTTTTGCAAAGTAGACAGTCCGACATACTTCATAAGAGGCATGACGAGTTTTTTGAAGTTGTATTTTTTTTTCAAAATTTTTCGGAAAAATGAAAAAAATTAAAAAAATTATTTTCACTATTTTTTTTTTTTACATACTGTCACCAGTGCAGTACAGCATCATCATATAACTGGCATGGCGGTGATCAGGGACACTAACTGGTGGCAGTATGAAAAAAAAAATATATTTTTTTTTAATTTTTTCAAAACATTTTATTTTTAATTTTTTTTTTTATTTCTTTTTTTTTTAAGATTTTTCTTTCATATTTCACTATGTCCAAAAGTAGTACAATGTTACCATAGTAACATTGTTCTACTTTGGGAAGTGATCAGTATTTTTTTTTTCTTTTACACAATTTGCTTTTAGCAAAGAATTACTTTGCTATAAGCAAGCATTTACCTGAATAATATCGATTCATTCAGGGTTTTTTTTTTTTTTTTGTGCTTAGCTGTGATTTGGCATGTGCATGTAATCACTGTGACCATTCACAGCTAGGCACTAGTATACAATGGATGGCATGAATGAAGCCATCCATTGTATACAACTGTTATGTGACCTGCTGTGATTGGTCACAGCAGGTCACATGGTACCCGGCAACTCAGATCTGTCATCAGCCGTGTCCGAGGTACACAGCCGGTGACAGATCGCGCCGCTGCGCAAGCGCAAAAACTGCGCATGCCCGGGAGGACGCCATATGGCATCCACCCGGAAATCTACAGCATTTTGCCGGCCGCCAAACGGCTATTGGCCGGGTGGCTATTGGTTAAACAGTGTGATGCGCCAGGATTGGCACATCAGCACCACTATCATCCTACTGCACACCAGCGGCTGTGTTCTAGAGCAGTTGCTGGCGTGATCAGCCTTAAGTGCTTGAATGAACTTGACCTGGTATCATCTCTTTCAATTCCTCTGTATAGCAGAACTCAGACTGATAGGAGGGGATAACAGCACAAGGAGCCAGTCAGTAGCATTGCAGTGCTCACTTGTGCTAACAAGGAGCATGCTGATAGGCTGCATATTCTTTCACTGTGCAGCCATTGGCTAAGGGAGAGACAATACCTGTAACTGTTTCTTAACTGGAGTACCGACAAATCAGGACTCATCTGCCAGCGGAGCTGTGCTGTGTGGCAGAGCTATGTAATCTCAGTACTGAATGAACAGATATACAACTCCATTGGCAAGTAAAACAGTGTGTGTGTATGTATATATAAATATATTTTTTTTACACACTATATTGGCAAAAGTATTGGGACACCACTCCAAATCATTGGATTCAGGTGTTCTAATCACCTCCATGGCCACAGCTGTATAAAATCAAGCTCCTAGGCATGCAGACTGCTTCTACAAACATTTGTGAAACAATGGGTCGCTCTCAGGAGCTCAGTGAATTCAAGCGTGGTGAGTCCATAAGTCCATCCGTGAAATTTCCTTGCTACTAAATATTACAAGGTCAACTGTTATTGGTAAAATAACAAAGTGGAAGCAACTGAGAACAACAGCAACTCCACCACAAAGTGGTAGGCTTTGTAAAATGACAGAGCGGGGTCAGCACATGCTGAAGCACACAATGTGCAGAAGTCGCCAACTGTCTGCAGAGTCAATAGCTAAAGACATCCAAACTTCACGTTACCTTCAAATTAGTACAACAGTGCATACAGAGCTTCATGGAATGGGTTTTCATGGCTGGGCAGCTGCATTCAAGCCTTACATCACCAAGTGCAATGCAAAACATTGGATGCAGTGGTGTAAAGCACACCACCACTGGACTCTAGAGCAGTGTAGATGTGTTCTCTGCAGTGACAAATCAAACTTCTCTGTTTGGCAATCTGATGGTCATGTCCTGGTTTGGTGGATGCCAGAACAGTACATGCCTGACTGCATTGTGCCATATGTAAAAACTTGTGGAGGGGGCAGTGTGGAATTGCTTTTCAGGGGTTGGGCTTAGCCCCTTAACTCCAGTAAAGGGGACCCTTAAGGCATCAGCACACAGACATTTTGCAAAATAACTATGTTAAGGCTGAAAAATATCCCAAAAAAAAAAAAAACTACATGTTGGAGCAGATGGAAATGCCAAACCTTTCTTTTTTGAAGAGTTTAGAAGCATAGAATCTTGTCTAAGTCTTCTATATCTAGTTATGTGCCCCAGGGCACAGAGTCTAAGCACCAGCCTGCTGCTTGTTCACCAGGGCCCCTGATGGTGGGGATGGACGTGGAGCAGGCTGGAACCAGGTTGCAGCCCCCAGGTACGCCCAGCTGAGATAGAAGAGACCACTAGCAGGAGCAGGGTACAATGGGAGTAGGAACAGAATATCCAGAAGACAAGCAAGGTCAGGAACAACACCAAGGTCAATACACAGATAGACACCGTAGGAGCACCATTAGGGTAGCGGCGCATTCAGCAGCCCACAGGGGAGCACAGACAACCACCTTTTTCAGGCAATGTGGGCTAGACTGAGCAGGTCTTAAATAGACAGGCAGACAAGGAGGCGGGCCAGGAAGTGATGAAAGGGAAGAACATAAAACCCAGGGAATAGCAGACAACACCCATAGTTGAGCAGAGACACACCTGTGAAGGAAACACAAACAGCAAGGAGGTAAGAGCAAACACAAGAGGCTGCAAGCTAACTTGTGACAATGGACAGTAGATAAGACATCTGATGATCAGATTGCAGCTGCAGAACTGTAGCCTACAAAGGCCATTTTATGCTCTGGACTATTGCTATTTACAAGTCATAGATGTGAGGCATTTAACCACCATGGCTGATGGAACTTGGGTTTATTTGTACAGAGAGTACTTGACCATCATAGGAGATAGAACAGTTCAGGTACTTGACCGACATAACAGGTAGAACTTGCACAAACAGTTCAGTTGCTGATAAATGGCAAAGTCTTTGTAGATGGTTGCTGCTGTCTGAAGCATTTGTCTCCTCCAGCATACTTCTGGTTGATATCAAAGCATGTGTTATCAAGACTAATGATCCAACATTCCATACTTCACAACAATGCCCATGTAGCCCATTATTGATTTCTGAACAGGTAAATCAATCATCACTAGTGGCCTGGCCTACCAATAAAGGAAAAACGTAGCCTGTTACATTATTAGGTAAAGCATTATTACAGGGACACTTACCCACCTACCACCTGAACTCTACACTACTCTGTATCTAATCTAAACTGTCTTAAACTACAGGCCCAACTTCAAACGTGTGTTTCCTCCCACACTGTAAAGACATTATGGCAGGCTAACAGGCTCTTGTCTACACTGAGCCCAGTATGTATGTACAAATTGCCCATGCATGTGTGTCACCATACTCTACATGACAGTCCCACACCCAAGCAATCATGGAAGGTTTGGGAAAAACCTGGGAACCTATTTCATGATTTACCATGATTGAAACTTTTCATATCACTCTCTCTCTCCCTGTACTGTGTACATCCTGTGGATTCTGTTTTTCACTCTGCCAGTGGTTCTGCATTTCAGTTCCACTACAATGACTATGGCAGAATGTACCAAAGTACATTGGCTGCCATAATCTAACTTAAAGCAGAGGTCCACCCAAAAGGGGAAGTTCTGCTTTAAGCTTTTATCCCCTGCTCCCCATTAAGGATTGGCACCTTTTGGGGAGTGGGTACCTGAATTTGACAGGTACCCGCTCCCACTTCTGTGATCGCCTAGGCAATTGGAAGTGGAAATTGTCCTTCTCCCCCTAGTCTTCTGGGACACATGACAGGTCCTAGAAGACTATGGGGCTGTTCACAAAGCGCAGCGCTTCTCACACATGTGCAGTGGGCACCCTACTGTGAAGCTGCAAGCTGTCACAGCCAGGTGGCCACATTGAAGATGGCGGCGCCAGGGAGAGAAGACGTCCAGTGAAACCAGCCATGGTGAGGACACCACTGGACCGAGGGACAGGTAAGTGTCTGTATTAATAGTCAGCAGCTACTGTTTTTGTAGCTGCTGACTTTTACATTTTTTTTTTTTTTTTTTTTTTTTTTTTTTTTTTTTTTAGCTGGAACTTCACTTTAAATATACACAGGGAAAGACAATATAGGAAGATGTACAACAACATTTTTAATGTAAATGTTTATTAAAAATAATAAAACCCCTCCCAGATGTGAAAAACAGTCTGTTAATCAAACACCTAGTTTTTTCTCTTTTTTGTTTCAAATTTAACTTAATCAGAGAACTCTCAAATAACCATCATGCTGTATCAAGATTAGTTGCTGTTTTACAATCAGTTCTGCAAAGGAAATTTGTGAATTCTGTATAAAACTGTATTCTATTTTGTATGCTTTGCCTATGTGGGTGGCACAGTGGCATAATGGTTAGCACATCTGCCTTGCAGTAAATGGGTCATGGGTTCAATTCCTAACCATGGCACCTCCTGCATGGAGTTTGCATGTTCTCACTTTGCTTGCGTGGGTTTCCACTGGGTACTCCGGTTTCCTCCCACACTCCACAGACATGCTGGTAGGTGAATTGATTCCAGTCCTGTCCAAATTGGCCCTATTATGTATATATATGAATGTTTTAGGGACCTTAGATTGTACACCCCTTGAGGGTTGGGGACTGATGTGAATGTACAATATATATGTAAAGCGCTGCTTAAATTGACAGCGCTATATAAGTACTTGAAATAAATAAAATAATGTATTGTACCAAGCACTCCTTGTGCACACGGCACTAATAATGTTTTAAGTTTGCATTCCTTCAAGTTCTGATTAGAAATTAGCCTGCCTAAGTAACGCGCCTTGTTACCATAAAAGTACAATTGTAATATTAATGTGATACCTACGTATATATGTGTATAAAAGACTTTCAACTGTGCTGAATAAACAGAACAGTGATTTGGAAAGATGCTGATTGTATCTTTTTATGTGTTCCCTACTGCAGTAGGTATTCATTTGGAACCCCTAATCAATACGAGGATAGGAGTTGCCTATCTATAAAATTTTCAGTATTAACTGCTTATCGACCACTCTATAGCAGAAGTACTGCTACAGGGCGGCAGAGCTGCGCAAAATCAGGTGTGTGTATATATACGTGATTTTGCATTTCCGCATAGCAGAGCAATACAAAGCGGCATGTTTCCCTAGTAAAATGCACACAGTAAAACCGCTAACAAATAACCATTTGATCGCCCCAGATGTTAACCCATTACTGCCCACTGACAGTACAATGTCATTGCTTTTTGTTAGCACTGATCACCATATTGGTGTCACTGGGGATGTCAGTGGCAGTTAGCCAGCCCCCCCAGTGTCAGAATGCCAGCTGCAGTCCCAATATAAGTTGCTGATCGCCGCCATTACAAGTATTAAATAAATAAAATTCCAGTATATATACTGCCATTTGTAGATGCTATAATTTTCATGTAAACCAACTAATTTACATGTATTGGGTTTTTTTTTTTAGCAAAGATATGTAGCGGAATACATTTTACATCACATGTATGACGATCCTCACAGGTTTAATAGTCACAGGTCAATCCCCTCACTCGATATCAATCAATAGTGACACTCACTCCTCTCCTTAAGGTCTCCTCCTCTGGCCAGTAGTAAAGCTCACTCTCCAAATAGGCTCATAATAAAGCATAAAGATCCTCCATAGTGTAAACCTGTTTATTTTAAGCCAAAATATAAAAAAAAAAATGCCCACTCACATGTACAATGTTAAATATTCACTTTTCACCACATACTATGGGTGTACTTGTATGGGTTGAAAAGGTGCACAAAGATGGCGCCCACATTCCAGAAACTACATCACCACATAACCAAATTCCTCCCCGGTACCAACATGTTATGTCACGCTAGTCACGTGACTTCAGGGTGTCCTGATACCAGACACCGTTGTTGTGACTACATTTACACGTTATCAAGGAACTGCATGATTTTGAAGTTGGAGCACGAGCTTATTCCAAAGTATTTGGACTTTTGCAATACTGCATCATTTGTGTTTCATGATTTTTACAAAAATGACCTTTTATTTATGTGGTTACTGTGTGGCACTGATCACCTATACATAGTTATGAGCTTATCCCTATCAAGGGATTCACATATTTATTTTTTACCATTGGATTTCCAGTCTGCGATCCCTCAAGTGTTAGAGCGACTGTGGAGCTTTATATTTTCACATGTATACAGTGTTTTTTTTTTTGTTTTGTTTTTTTTTTGTTTCCAAGAACTGTGAAAAAATTCTAATGTCTAGGAACAGATCTGGTTCCTTCTGTATTAACAAGAACTTAAAAATCATATTTTATATTCTAGAAGTTGATATACATGTTCATCTTTAGTGTGATCATTCACTATTGTCCCATCATATGCTATTAAGCAAAATACTTAGTTTGGTCTTTACTAGCTGACTTAAAGTGATACTAAATATACATTGTTTGCATTAGCTTCCCTGTGCGCCCTCTTCCCTATGTAAAAGGGAGGAGAGGGGAGAAGAGAACAGCGCTGTGCTGGTTTGCATCTTTTCTCCCCTCGCTTCCTCTTCACAAGGGACTCCAAACAGCAGCAGGAGCCATTGGCTAATGCTGCTGTCAATCAAATGTGGTAAAGATACTGGATGTGGGGGGGTGGGGCTAAGTCCCACTGTGTGTCTACAAAGCTGTGCTCTATAGACACACAGGTCAGGAGCGAGTATGTAGTGCGTGTGTGCAAGCAAATGGCTTGCTATGAGGACACAAAAAGAGGAGCCAGGCTTTTCATTGGGGGGACCCAAGAAGAGGAGGATCAGGGCCGCTCTGTGCAACACCACTGCACAGATCAGGTGAGCATAATAGTTTTGTTTTTTAATTAAGAAAAAACTACCTTTTAGTAGCACTTTGTGAAAATGACATGGGTGTGACATTAATTTTATCAGTGGGAGGTGCCTTCTTCCCTTTCTATGCCCAGTAGGCTGAAATAGAGAGCTAAACA